CCTGGCTAGTTACTGTGTGCTGGGAAGGCTTCTGTTAGCACCAATCGCCCTCCCAGCTCTGAGTCTGCCTCAGAACTGCCCTTAACTCTAAGCTCCCTGAGGGCAGGAACAGGATCTGCCTGTCTACCACCCGCTCTGGCACTCAGTGTGGGCCTGGCACTTAGAAGGGGCTGTGTCTGTCACAGGAATAAATCAAGTGGAGCTTGACACATCCTAACCCCAGCTCCTCCTTCCGAATATTCGGCTTCCCACACCCTCCCCCCAAACTGAAATTGTCTTCCACAAATTGAAGCACACTCAGAAGCAACCTCCGCCCACAGCAGAACCGTTCGCGTTCTCTGCAGGCCTCCCCTCTGCTTCCTGGACACACATCAGGTGCAGTACAGCCATACCTTCCAGTTCCCCACAGGCGGGGTCAGGAGAAAGGCCCGAGGCTAGGAGGCGCTCCTCCTCCCCACCCCTCCACTTCCTGCTCTGTCCCCAGAGGCACTAAGTTACTTACATCAATTCCCTATTACTTTAGCCAACAGTCAGGAGATCAATTAACTTAGAGTAGCCTCTTAGCTGACAGCAGTCTGGGTGAGGGGTGGAGTCAGAAGTGGGAGGGAGGAGATGAGAGAGGAAACTAAGTTACCCAAAGGATTGTGTGTGTGTGTGTGTGTGTGTGTGTGTGTGTGTGTGTAGAGGGGGGACAGACCCCAACCTAAGGTCTCCTGGATTCCTGCAACTGGCTCCACTCCAGTCTCCTCCCTCTAGCCTCAGGCTTTTCTCAGGGAGGAAGGGAGAGAAGAAAAGGATAAGGCTAAAAGAGGTCTCCAGGAACCCCGAGGACGGGAGCGCCCCTCCTCCGAAGCTAACCCCTCCACTCCAGGCTCTCCTATCCCTCTGCAATCTGTGCATGCTCCGTCAGCGCCCCCAGTGCTCCCGCGCACCACACACAAAGACTACTGGGCCTCTGGGTGGGGTTGCCGCGACCCTCTTGCCTCTCCGCTTGGCAATGCGAGCAGCCTTGCTCCTCCGCAGCCCCTCCACTCCCTACCGAGCTGGAGAGAATAGACCCAGATAGTAAGGCTGGGCCCTCTCCAGGGAATCCCGTTCTGAGCTGCTCTAGGATGGGGTGTGTGGGTGTGAGGGGAGTCAGGGAAGGGGCAGAGCCGGCCCGGTGATAAGGAAGCCCTCTGCTAGTCCCGGCTCTCCTTGAGATCTGCCATTCCCAGCTCTGCTTGCTTCAGGATGACCTCTCCCTCCCACTCTGTGTCCCAGAATCACCCACCTATACCCACTTCTTATATCAGCATCTCACCCCTCTAGGTGCTCCAGAAGATTCCTGTCCTCCAGAACCTCGGGGGAATTTCTGTGTCCACCCCCCTCATTCTACCTCCCCTCTGGAGAATTCCTGCCCCCATTCCAGGGCCCTGGGGGACTCCTGTGGGCCCCTCAGGGAATCCTGTCCCCTATTCCTTGTCCCCCAATTCTACCCCCTCCTGAAGGAGAATACTATACATCCATTCCCAGGATTTCCAGTCTCTGCCTTCTCCTTCCTTCTCTTTCAAGGTCCAGAAATGAATTCCTGCTTCTTTCTCCCCCAGGCAGAGGCTCTGGGTCCCAGCTGGAGCAGGGGGTGGCCTAGGGCAGACTGGGCAACCATCTGCCAGCCCCCTCCCCTCAGCGCTGTTCAGCATTCCAGCCACATTGGCGCTCCCACTGCCAGGGACAGATAAGGTGCAGCTGGAGGCTGGCACCAGCTGCGACTGCTCATTCCCTCCAACCCCCACCCAGACAGCTGCACCCCCAGGCCCCCTCCATGGAACCCCTGCCCTGCCTTGGCCTGACTGGCCTTGAGGTTGGGTGGGAGAGTGGAGCCTCAGACCCTGTTGCCCTGGCAACCAAGCACCCCACCAAGAAGGGAAAGATGTGGCCAGGGCAGAGGGGGCCTTGTGGGTAGGTCTCTAGTTGCTCTTTGATAGCTCAGGAGAGAGCTCCTGAGGCCTACCCAACCGTGCTGCTGTGCGGATGTTTGCCCTATTGCCCTCTGCCTCTTCACTCCCAAAGAGTTTCCAACTAGTTCCTCTCAGATTTAGCTCAAGTTCCCCATATTCGTCCCCACTGTCCCAAGCTGACTCAGCCACAGTTGGGGGATGTCCCTGTCAAACACTGTGACCACCAGTTCATTCCTTGAGGTTGTGCTGGACTCAGAAGCACATCTGAGGAAATGCTTGTCACGGCAGACTCCCACCCAGGGAGCTGGGGTCTTTGACAGACTAGAGTATGCCATTCCTATGCCCCCTGATCTGCCCTCCAGGAGCACACATGCCCTCACACACACTCACACACACACACTCAGATCCTCACACATACTCTCACACACCCTCACATATACCCTTACATACAACTTCTTAAAGGTTGGATGAGGGTTGCCCTCGGAAACCCGCAGAAGAATTCACATGTGCTGTGCACACTATATTTTGCAAACTTTGAGACAGGGTTTGGAACCCCAGTTAAGAAACTCTTCTCTTGAGGTGGTAGAAGGTGTCAAGATGGTCTCCTTCAAGCTCTGACCGGAAAGACAGATGTTTTCTGTCAGTGCACATCTGTCTAAGGGCTCGATACACATCTTTTGGTCTAGCAGAGAGTGGCAAGGATGGAGATGCTTATGTTCACTATGGGACCAAGGAGAGGAGAGAGAAGGTGGAGCATCAGGCAAGAAGTGTCTGCACCCTTTAGGACCAGGGAGCTGGAGGGGCATGCCAGCATCCTTCTTTCTACTTAGGGAGATGTGAGTCATGGACTCACAACCAAACTCCCATCCGTGTAGGAACATCCCCATGGGCAGAAGTGATAGAGTTCCTGACATGGAATGGGTCTGGCAGTGAGGTCAATCGGAGAGGCTGAGAGGTTTGGGTCTAGCCAGATTCAGGGTCAGGTGTTTGACACAGGCTCAGAAACAGCAAAAATCTGGTCTTCCCTGACAACCCAGAACCAAGAGGTACCTGTGTTAGGCCTGCAGGCTCCTAACCTGTGTCTCTCTCCCACCAGCAAGAGGAAGATCTTGGATTGCTCCAGAACTTTCTGAACCAATCATTTTCCATCTAACTACTTAGAATTGTCCCCTCAAACAATATGGTCCAATCATATTCCAGTATCTCTATTTCCATGAACCAAACATGTCTTAGCATCATCACTTAGAATCTTTCCGGACGTGAGAGACAAATGGAGTAACTGAGCACTTTCTATGGACTAACTGTACCCCCATTTTATACTTCAGCAGCCTCCCGGGTTAAGCCGAGCAATCCCCTTCCTCCTCCAGCACTACAAACCATCCAAGCTAATGGGTTTTCTGTCTTTCTTGGTGGTCCCTTCCGCTTGTGTGTTGGGTATGTTGGGGAGGAGGAGGACTCTGACTTTCACTTTACCTTCACCTACAGTTCTACTACTCTTGGGAGCATAGCTGGTGAGCCTGGGAACCTTTCATCTCAGGCTCTGGAGAATACAGCGCTTTATTATTTTGAGGAGAGAAAAGAGGGAAGAAAGTGGTTCTTGCATCACACCAAGTTCCTCATCACCTTGGCTCAGGCCATGAAACTGGTCCACAGAGCAGGGCTTAAAAAGACTGGGAAGTCTAGTGGGAAAAAACAAGCATGACCATGGCTCCTGCCTTTCTACACAAAAGAATGCAGTTCATGCTCCCATAATGCTAGGAGGAAGAAAGCAAGTGGGGGTGGGGAGAGGGAGAAAATGAGCAGGGAAAAAGGAGGGGATCTGAAAGTGGAGAATTGGGGACAGGCATGGAGAGCAAGGGGGTCTTAGAGGAGACCGAGTTTTCAAAGAGCAAGGGCCAAAACTGGAAGTGGACATGATAACTCCAGGGTCAGCAGTATTAATGAAAAGAGCACACTGCATTGGGACTTAATAAGACATGTGTTCTAATCCTGAATCTGTCACTAACCAGCTACGTGAGCTTAGGACAACTCATTCTACTTCCGTGTCTCAGTTTGTACATTGGCGAAAATAGAAATGATATGGCGATTTATCCAGGGCATTGAAGGAGCACCTAGAAATCATTCTGAAGAGTTACAAGCATTGTCCTCACATTTGGTGTTATTTTTCATACATGGCTCCAGGTCCTCTGGTCCCTTTCCAGCCTCTGTCTGATTCTAACCCCTCAGGAACCTGTATAACTTGCCCAAGATCACCTGGCACATGAGATGCCAGTCAGTTCCCCTAACTCTCTCTGGGGTGCTGGCTTTGAGATAGCCCCGTCTATGGGGGATGGTGTGTCTGTGGGGCATTTCCATTTTAAGAAGCAAAGGGAGCCTCCAGTTCAGTCATGGCCGTGTACCTCAAATCTTCTCTTCTCCCTCAGATCCTGGCTTGGTGGCTCTTGCTGGCAAGCAGGTAACCTAACTGAACAATGTACATGTATGGGGGTGGCACACAGAGAATTAGCTGTCTGGCTATTTAAGAGAAAGCTTCCCTTACTTCTCCTGTTTCATGATGCTTCTCAAACTTTAATTCAAATCACCTAGAGATCTTGTTAAAATGCAGATTCTGATTCAATAGGTGGGGTGGTGAAGTTTGCATTTCTTTCAAGCTCCCAGGGTGATGGTCCTTGGACCTCATTCGAATAACAAGGCTGCCACTTCCCACCACTCCCCCTTCCCCCAGCTCTAACACCTGTGGCCCAGAAGGTAAGCTTGATGTTGTCAGGCCATGCTAAGCTGTGTGTGTGTGTGTGTGTGTGTGTGTGTGTGTGTGTGTGTGTGTGGTGCGCTGTGGACTCTCTTTCTTGCCATCATGGACACAAAGCTGAAGCTCCAGCCCTCACACAGAGCAAATGCACCCCAATACTGAACAAAGTCCCCTCTTGCCAGAATTCAGCCCAGGGACATACAGCTTCCTCTCCCAGAGTAGTGAGAAGGATGAGAGGGCTGCCTGCACCTAGTTTCCTCCTCCTTTGGGGCCCGGGCTGACTGACGCCCCACACCAGGGGACTCACTCACCACCTTGAAGTCTTCTGCGCTGCAGACCTCCCCCCGGAATTGGCAGGAGAGCAGCATGTCTCTAATGTCGTGCCCCGCGCGGTCGTAGAACTCGCGCATGTTGAAGGGCTTGGGCTTGAAACTGCGGAAGTTGGCCTTGTCCTGCAGGATCTCCAGCTGCTTTTCATCTGCCATCTGTGTATCGGGTATCTCATACCTGGAGCCCAGAGGCGAGCATTGCATGGATCAGCATGACCTTCCGTTCCTGCCTCCATTTGACCTCCAGTGCCCCATACCCAACCTCGAGGGGATGGGGGGAGGACAGCATCCAGCCTTGGGGATCAGGCCTGGCAATAGGCATGGAAGAGGATCAGGGCATGTCCAGAGGACCTGCCCCATGGGATCTGAGAAGACAGAAGGACCTGCAGCATCTCAGCACATGGGTAAGAGTGGGCTGGTAGAGAGATCAAAGCAGGAGCTATGGCTTTTATACTATAGTCTCTACCCTTTAAAGATGGTCTGCCCCCATTCCCCAAGTGATAAGAAGATCAAGACATAGTGGCAGGAGGGTGGACAATGGTCACTTCAGATAGGGTGTGACAGTCACTCCAGAGAGGGTGTGATGTCTCACAGCTCAGGCTGGGTAGGGGCAGAGCTATTTTGGACTGTGCTGGGATCAGAGACTGAGTGCCCTTAATTGAATGCTCAGCAGAACCCCAATTCCTCTGCTGCGCATGGCAAGTTTTGGGGGCTGGAGGGCAGGGTTGTCTGGGCTCTATGAGGTTAGAGAGGCATGCACCCTGATGGGGTCTCTGGGAGCTGGGATGTACACAACTCTAGGAGCCTAGTTGGGGGATGTGTGGGAGCTACCCACCTGTTGTTGAGCAGGGCCAGCAGTTCTCCAGCATGGTACAAGTCATTCTTGGAGACTTGGCTAAAGCGGAACTCATTGAGGTTGCACAGCGTGACGGCGGGGAAGGTGAGCTGGGAGGCAGCCACCTCGTCGAGCTTGGTGACGTGGTGGTAGTTGAAGTAGTACTGCACACGCTCTGTGCACACACACAGCAGCAAAGCCAGTGAGCCCAGGAAACACAGGGCCCAGAGCGCCCGTTTCAGTGACAGCCGCTCGTAGGAGAAGATGTGGGCCAGGCCGTGCAGCGTGGAGCTGCTGGCGAAGGCCTGAATGCTCACCGGCTGGACGCCACCCACCTCCTCCTCCTCAGCCTTCAGTTCCATCCTGGCCAAGGGAATCCTGGGGGACAGGGAGGGAGTGAATCCGTCATTGTCTTGGGATGAGAGTACACTTAGGGTCCCTCCAAATATGACCATCTGGAATTCCCATCTCCAGAGGTCACCGCCTCTGAGGCAGGAGACTTCCCTGGTGTGCCAGTCCAGAGGTAGCTGACCTAGGGACACACTCCCAGAAGAGGGTTCCTACAAATGCAGGGGCTGGCGGGTCAGCTCAGGCCAAGAGAAGGCTATCCCAGGGAAGCTTTCCGGGCCAGGGAAGACCCCAGATGGTAGTCATCCGAGGGCAAGAGGGAAGTCCCAATGTTCCCACAGGCAAGCACAGGAGTTCCCTCCAGATATGGGGTCATTCTGGGACAGGAATGTCCACCCCATCCTGGAGACGAAAACGCCCCCAGAATGGATGAACCCGGAGTCGGGAGCTCCTCCTGGTCAAGGGTGTCCCCAGGACCCAGCTTTCGCCATCGTTAGCTAAACCTGGACCAGAAACCCCTCCAAGGAGGTGGGGAGGGGCCCAGCCTGAGTCCTCACCAGCGGACGTCTCTAGTTCTCACTACCCGCAGGCTGTATGTGTGTATGTTTGGGGTGGTGGGTGGAGGGCAGCCTGAGGTGGATGCATTCGGGGGGCGGGGGGGCGCAGTTACCTAAGACAGCGAGCTGTCCCCGCCCCGGACGCAATACCCCCTCCTCCAGTCCAGCTTCTCGACGCAGCCAGATTCCCTGCTCGGCCCCCGCCCCCCTCCCCAGCCACTGAGCCGCCCCGGCAGCTGGGGAAAGCGAGAGCGGAGCAAAGTCCCGGCTTCGGGGCGCTGGGGAGTCCTGCAGCCAAAGGCGGGGGATCGGAGACCCACCTGAGGGGGCTTCGGGAACCCAGCAACCAGCAGCGGGTCCTGGGGCGCGGGGCCGGGAGCGGGCTCAGCGCC